TTTCGAATATGAAAACTTATAAAATATTCATAATTTTTTCATAAATTATATTTTTTCATATTTTTGAAAATTCTTTTTGGATAAATGTACGCAATTACTTTTATATGAAAATTTTTAATAAAAATATTTAATAAATTTGTAGCCAATAACAAGTTTTTGTTTTCATCGAACATAAAACAGTGCAATTTTATAGATACTGATATAAGCTGCTGGAGAATATTTATATACCGTGCGCGTGTCCAAGATAAAATACTTATTAACAGAATTCTCTGCTCGACATATGTATATTGCAAAAAGCAGCAATTAACATATTATAAACAAAAAATGTAGGCAAATATACGAGTTTTTATTGAGAAAAGCTCACAGTTTGGCTTATTATTTTGCAATTATTACGTTACAAAAAGATTGAAGAGACATAATTTATATTTTGTAATGTACTTTGTGCTTATTTTCCTAGACTTTAGAACTTTATTTTGCTACAGAAATTGATATATTGAATTCAGTATTCAATTTTTTTTAAATAACATTTATATTGTTTACATGATGCACTGCGTTATATTTTTTTCTCTGAAAAGATAAAACTAATAGAATAAAAAGAAAGCACAGGTGATGAAAAATGATAGGTCTATTGTGTTTGGTATTTTTCTATCTATTTTGAAACAGAAAAATGTTCTGGCACTAATCCAGAATATCTACGTTGATCTCGCATCGTTGAGTACGCATTGCACTCCTGCAACGCTGCAAATTTTCTTCTGTGTTGTCAGTTTATTACAGTTTAGTTGTAAATGATAGCAAACAAAAAATTTATTACGTACAATAAACTTTTGCAACAGTTTTTGATATCTTGAAAAATTTTTGAATTTCAAATCCATTATTATATGCTTTACTGTTTAATAATAAAAATAACAGATAATTAAAGAATTTAAAAAAATATCAAATAATAAAATTTTATAAAATAATATTAAAGAAAATATGTAAAATTATTTCGTATATAAGCAATTTCATTACTTAATATAAAATGTTTAATCATATATCTTACCTGCGCAAGCACTCCTTTCGAATTCGATTGCATAGTCGATTCCTTCTCATTCAAAATTCTCTTGTCATGTTTGACATTGTTATTATTGTTGTTCTCGAGATCTAATGGACTCTCGCTCATTGAAGTGTAGTCCATCATGGCACGCCCTTCCTCGCTATAATTTCAAAAAGTACAAGTACAATTTTCTAACCTGTAAGCACAATTTTAAATTTTTCATTTCAAATTATACATTACCTCAAATCAAGAGCCATATTGATTCAACTGAATAGCTGAAATCCTTAAATATCTCTGATCAGTACCTCTGGTCACGAGATGAACGCCTCGATCACTACGTTTATCACCAGAAAGTTCTGATCACATTCAACACCGCAACTCTGCTGTAGTTTTCGTTCCACATTATGTAACTCAAGAAATTCTTGAGATTTTAATTCTATCCTCATCCAACAAGCATAAAAATTTCTTCTAAATCAAATCAATTAAATTTTTATGAGATTATTATTACTCAAATCTGTTTTAATGACGATAATTTCTAATTCATAAAAACTTGTTAAAAATTTTATGATTATATTTGCAGTATTTTTAAAACAAAGATATTCTCCGAACACACACACACACACACACACACACACACACACACACACACACACACACGCACGCACGCACGCACGCACACACACGTACATATACAAAAGAACTTTACAATTAAAAAAAACATTATTGCAAATGTATTAATTATTGAATCTGTATTAAAAACAAAGGATCTTATTTTATAAATGAGCGAGTGTCTTAAGTCTCAATAGTCTAAGGACGCTCCCACGGAATGCAAGAGATCCGGATTCGAGATAATATTGTTCACAATAAAAATTAATTATTTACAGATTTTAATATGCTCATTATACTTAAGATCGTTTCGAAGATACGAAAAAGCATCAAAATTTATTAAATTGCTACTCAATTTAATTCATTAACATATTACTGAGGTATTAATAGAATTAACGTTTCAAGACCGAAAAATTATTTCGACACGCGTTTCAGTATGTAGTATATAAATTCACACAGAATCATAGAAGCATTTAAGATCCAGCTAGATCTTAGAGTTTTGATTGCTATAGTTTGTATTATCATATGTATGATTCTATGATATTATTATATTATTTTTTATATTATTTTTTATATTATTTTTTATATTTTTTTAATTTATATTAATTATCAAAACAAAAAATTAATGTATATATTTTTAAGATTATTGCTATATTTATTTAGATATTATACATTACATAAATTACGAAATAATGAAAACGAAACATTATTTGAAACAGATAAAATATTCATTTAATGCTTTTATCTCTCTATTTATCTCCATCTTAAAAAATGAATCCGATATGAATTAACTGAGAGAATTAATTCATATCGGATTCATTTTTTTATATGTAAAATCTTTTTTTATATTTTTAATAGATCTTGTTTATATTTTTAATTTTTTTTTTCAGCTGTGCAAAAAGCATAAAAGAATCTTGATCTGATTATCGACTGTCAAAGAATTCTCTAAATAAATTACATGATAATTATGTAATTATAATTATGTGCAGAAAGATATAACATATAAACTTTTTTTTATTATATAACACAGAGCTCCCAATAATTTTAATGCGGCTCTAGACGACGTGGCTAAGATACACCAACTATATGCACATTCGCTAATTGTTAGCCAACATTCATGTGGATAATTATACATGTCGTGTATGTATGTGTATGTGTGTAATATTTGCTAATTCTGGCGTATATTAGCCATGTCGTCTACAGTTGCCTTTACTTTATATGGATTTGAAACTTATAAAATATTCTGACATTTCTAACTTCCGACATTTAATAGGCATAGATATATACTGACTTTTTAAAGTAAGAGTATGTATATTAACTGTATATATTATTTACTTAATTAATATAAAATTTATTTATTATAAAAATATTAAACATTGTTACAAGAATAGAAACTTTTCGGTAAAGTCAAAGATGCTTGAAAAATTATCAGTTTTATATCTTTTACCTTTTTGTAACATAAAAGAATACAATATAAATAAAATCTTATTTTATTAACAAAAATACCATATTTATAAAGATTTAAAATCACTATGTGTTTAAGTATATAGTAAATAAAGTTTTAAAAGAAATTCATGATTCTTAAGAGTAATTTTTAATTTAAACTTTAAATAAATATTTATTTAATGTTAAAGAAGCATAATAGTTTATTACTTCTTTAACATAAAATTATTATTTTATGTTTAAAATTAATTAATTTTTTTAACATAAAATTATTATTTCTTCATATTTTGCGTATATCAAGCAAGATTAAAAATTACTTTTAAGAATCATGAATTACTCTTAAAATTTTTTAATTTACAATACAATTAAATAGATAATAATTTTAAATATTTACAAATGTGTTTTTTTAACAAATAACTCATATACAATATTGTATTTATGTTGTATTCTTTTATTAGAAAGGTAAATAGCTAAGAGTAACATAAAACTGATTATATCTTTTTCAAATACTGCTTTTATGCGATCGCATAAATATCTTCCCTGGAGTTCTGTATGAAATGGAATGTATATTCCAGAACTGAATGCGAAATGAATGAGTATCGGAGAAAATAGAAAGAAAGAAGAGAAAACTTACGATCTGGTTCAACTTTCTCTCTCCTGTCCGAGAATGTAAGTCACGTGGCGCCGCGACTTTACACGCGGGTCGACTCATTCATCTCCCCGGAGAACATTGCACTCTCTTCTACAGATCGTAATTCACAGTATAAAGCACTTTTGCAGAAAACTTCATTTCGTCCCGTCTGTCTCGCTACTTCGGAAACGCCCAGGCAGAAGCAATTCTCAATCTTAGCTCCGTCTATCGTCTTGCGTGTAACGAGCGAAGACGCGAATGACAGAAAGCGTGAATAAGCGGCAACTGATTCCCCTCCTTTTACAATGACTAAGCCGAATAAACAAAGTGGTAGTGTCGATTACGATATTGCGAAAGTCCAACTATCGATTATAGTCATATCATTCGTTAAAACAGTACCTGCGCGGGAATATTCTCTAACTTTCAACTAAAAGCTAATAGCCTTGGTTTGTGTGTTTCCAGAGATAATATAGCCTTTTGAATAATTAATTAAGTTGAAAGCGATGTCACCTTTAGCAACTGTCATCATATCTATACGCTGCTTAATGTTACTAGTCTATATATACTTATATAGATTAAATAAATTTCGATGAACGTAAGTTTCGATTTCTCTTTCGATTTTGTGTGTGCGCCTTGGTGAAATCTTATTTACACACTGATAAATTTGTACGTTATAATGCAGCACTACTGTTTCGTGTATAGTTGTTTGACGAGGAATTAAGTTCAATTTTACTAAATTCCATGTGTTCATATGTGCACATGTGAAAGAACGGTTTTGTTGTAGTATCTAAAAATTTAGCCATTAGTTAGCTACAGATCTAATTATTATTATGTTGGATTATTAAAATAATTGCTTAAAACGCTTAAAGCTAGTAGTTGTTAGAATAAAACAGCATTGTCATATTTAAGTGTTCTACATAATTATTTGTGATAACGTAGTTATTTTCAAATATTTGATCCAATTTTTAATAAATTCAATAAAATCGTTCTTTCTTCATGTTCTTCCGCTAATAAAGTCAAATCCAATCAAGCTCAATTCTATCTTATAATCTTTTTACAATTATAAATTTCATTGACTTTTGTCTGGATGCTTCTCTTCGGAATAAGCACTTTCACAATATTCAAATCAGCATATTGATAAATATTACATCGTTAACCGTGTAATCATATTGCTCGCAAACTTTTGCGAAATACATACTAATGTTAATATGACCTTAATTTTGTTTTGAACTCACGCAGTTGAAAGATAATCATTCAATACTGTAGATATCTCTCTAATGATCCTTACTGAGTAATTACACAGTTACATACGTGCACAGTTACATAACGAGAACCGATAATTTTAGTGCCTCAATAGCACATGACGATAAATATA